GCATGCATCAAGTATGAAATTTGAAATAGTGTAATTTTTTTTTTTTTGGTATAAAGAAGGGGGCCAAAAGCCTAGAGAAAGTTTAGACTAGAACACGCTGGGGGTAGGAAACCCCCATAAGATCATGATCGAGCCATGGCCCTAAGCCGCCAGGAGGATCCGACACACGATGCAACCCAAGAGGATATGATGCCGCCAAACCTGCCATGTAGTTCGCCGCAAAATTAGCTTCCCTATGCACATGGTTGAGTCTCACACTCCAACTATACTGCAACATGCTACAGATAACCCGCACTATTGTTGTATGTGCTCCAAAATCGTCACCATCACCAAGCACCATATTCTTTACACATTGGTTGTCCACCTCTACTGTAACCTGGCGAAAGCCTAAGTCCCAAGCCAATTGGAGACCCTGAAATAGTCCCCACAATTCGGCACCCGTGATGGTGCAGGCCCCTATGTTCATGAGAAACCCCGCGATCTCCAACTACCGATCTCGTCACGGAGAAGGCCTCCCGCACAGCTCAGTCCCATTGTCCTATTGTGAGTTCCGTCCGTATTTACTTTTATCCATCCTATATCGGGCGGCTTCCAACGAATCGTTCGAGTAACATGCATGGCAGCCCCGACTTTGATATAATCTGTCGTCGCCCGAACATAGCTCTCCGTGGATCTCATCACCTCCAACCTCCGCGCTTCAACGCTCATCGCCGTATTTTGAAACACCCGCTCATTTCGCCACTTCCATAAACGCCACACGATAATAGCAAACGTGCTACTCCAGTGCTTGCACTTCCCAGGCGCAATTTCAACAAATTGCTGCGGATCCAAGCTTTGAGAGGTTGCTGGAAAAAACTAACCTCGTCGGCAACCGGTAGCAGCCGATTCTACAGCTCCCTAGCAGACGGATAGTCGCGAACAACGTAAATGGCCGACTCTGGATTCCCACAAAGATCGCAGGCCGATGAAGCCGACAGGTGCCGCCTTACACGATCAACGTTGGTCAGGTTTCGTTCCTTGGCGACAAGCCACAGCAAGGTCCGAGCTCGTTGCGGTGCGGGAGCTCGCTAAATGGTCCGCCATAAGGGTTGATCGTCGTCTCTTCCGGTACTCGCTAGTGCTTGATAGGCTGTTCTAGTAGAGAATCTACCATCTTCGGAAAGGCCTCATATGATACAATCTCCTCCCGCTTCCACTCGTGGAGGAAGTGTCCCGGCAATGCGAAGAATCACGGAGGAGGGGAGAATGCCATGCATATTGTCCCATTTCCATCCTCCATTATCACCAACAAAGTCCGCCACCTTAGCATCGACGTTCACCGAATGCGTTTGGCTGTCAATGAACCTCACGAGCGGTCCACTATTATCTAGCCAATTATCGAGCCAGAAGCGAGCGTTTTCTCCATTGCCCAGTACCCATCGAATGCCTTGGACAATTTGAGGCCAAATTTGGCTAATAACTCGAATTAAATTAGAGCCCAGCCGTCTATATCTCAACTCCATATTTGTTGTTAGCTCCAAACCATATTTAGCAGAAATAACTCGCACCCACAGGGCATCCATGTTGGTCAAAAGTCCCCATCCCACTTTCATTAGCAGAGCGTTGTTCATGCGATAGAGGTCCTTGATTCCCAAACCTCCGTCATCTTTATGCTTACATATAGCACTGTCAAAATGGGCCATGGCCCGCGGGCTGGCCCGTCCGTCCGCCTAAATGGACGGGCTTGGGCCTTTGCTTGGCCAGCCCGTTCAATCGCGGGCCTATTTGGCCCGCCTCGTTTGGCCTGCGGTCTAAAGCGGGCTGGGGCGGGCTGGCCCACGGTCCAGCCTATTTTTATATTATTTATTAATTTATTAATTTTATATTAATAAACTTAGTATTTTTTATTTTACTTCTATAACTATTCATAAAACAAAATAAAAATAAAAACTGGATGATAAATATTTAACATCATCACACATGAAGCCTTACTAGTTTATTAATATACTAGTAGCAAGCTCGTCCTCCTCTCCCCTACCCTCAAAGCCACGGAGTTAGTCGGAGTCCGAGAGGGACTCAAGTTAGAAAGAAAAGGAGGCGACAGGTCAGTGGTCCTTCGGTTGGGGAATGAAAGCAAAGCCAGACAAACCAAAAGTATATAAGAGTTCATAATAGCAAAAAACCCGCGGACGGGCCCATTTGGCCCGCGGGCTAATGAGGGCGGGCAACGGGCCATGGATTTCCCAGCCCGTAAAAATGCGGGCTATTTTGGCCCGCCCCGTTTGAACTGCGGGCTAGCGCGGGCCGGACCGGACCGGCCCATTTGACACTGCTACTTACATACATCTTTCCATGCTACCAAGTGCAATTTCCTCCTCTCATCAGAGCCGCCTCATACAAAGGTCCGACATCTCCACTCGAGACCTTCAGTAGTCGCCTTCGGGAGCATGATGGTTTGCATCGAAAAGTAGGGGAGCGTGCTTAGGGCCGATTGCGTGAGGGTTACTCTCCCAGCCAAGGAAAGCAACTTCATGCGCCAGCTGGCTAGTCGCGATTCGGTCTTCTCCAAGATATGATTATACGTTTCTTTGGTCATACGCTCGTGGAAAATCGGCATCCCTAGGTATTTACCTAGATTATTTGTCAGCTTGAAGTTGAGCACCGCTGCCAACCTTGTTTGTTCTAGTGCCGGCACTTTTTTAGAGAAATGAACTTGAGTCTTCTCAGCACTCACTCGAAGCCTTAACCGCATGCAAAAGCCATCATGCACATGCCGCAAAACTAGCGCCTGGTCATCAGAAGCTTCCAAAAATAGGAGGAGGTCATCGACCTCTACAACATTTCTACCAACAGAGATAAGACGCCAAGATAGCCCCTCCACCGATTGGCAAATACAATGAGCAAACCGCTCCAGGCAGGGTACGAATAAGTAAAGGGAGATGGGGTTTCCCTGTCGGACTCCTCTAGTGAGTCGAAACTCCTCACCCATCGACCCATTCCACAATAGGTTCATCGAAGCAGAGCTCACACAAGCCATGACTGCTCGAATAAACTTAATGGGATAGTCGGCTAGTCGCAATGTTTCTTCAATAAAGTCCCATCGCAGGTAGTCATAAACCTTCTCTAGATCCACTTTGATAACCATATAATCCTTTCCCCTGCGCTTCCCACGCATCGAGTGAATTAATTCTTAGGCTATTATTATGTTATCCATGATATGACGACCCGGGACGAAGCTGGCTTGTGCTGGGTGGATCAACAAAGGCAAGGTGCTCTTCATTCGGTTTACCAAAATTTTTGTGAAGAGCTTGTAGATCACATTCAGTAAGCTTATCGGTCGGAAATGTCTAATGGTGCTGGCATTCTCAATTTTTGGGATTAAAACTATCAAAGTTTGGTTAACTTTGTTTGGTACCGCCCCAGCCTGCCACATTCCTCTAATAAACGTACGGACAACCGGGCCCACGACCTCCCATTTTTTTTGAAAAATTAGGGCATTCAAGCCATCCCGACCCGGGGCTTTTAGCGGGCCCATGTTGTGCAAGGCGTCAGAAAACTCTTCATCCCTGATATTTACTGCCAGACCGCACATCACACTCTCGTCGCATGGAGGAAACAAGTTTGTCGGGTCCTCAATTGCCTGGTGGTGCAGTATAAATGCCCTTGAAAAAGTCCGTGGCTAGACTGCTTAGAGGGTGTTGGTCCGTGACCAGTAGGGGTGTTCACGGTCCGGATTGGTCCGGTTTTAGCCCAAACCATGACCAAACCGGACCTAACGGTTAATTTTTTTTCTTGTCCATAACCGGACCGGTATTATTTTTTAACCGACCACAATCTGGACCGCATTGGACGGTCCGGTTTGGCGGTTAACCGGTTAAATCCAAAATCCTTGTTTTGGGCCTTTAATTTTTATTTTTTTCATTTTGGGCTTAGTTTTTATTTTTCAATTTTGGGTCCAAAAGAGATTATTTGGGCCTAAAAATTAAGAAAAACAACAATGATGAAATAAAAAAAATACACAATTTGTCCCATAAGCATAAAAATATACATTTCGTCCAAAAAACATAAAAATACAAAAATGATGAAGATTAAACTATGCAAACTGAACTCAATCAAGCATTCATTTTTCAGTCAATTTATACACCTGAAATAATAAGAGCAAATCATTCATAGTTAATGTATTGTATTTGTCGACCATAGTGAATGACTTAATGTATATATATATTTGTTATAGTTTTTTAATATTTACCGGTTCGGTCCGGTCCGGTTAAACCGACGGTTTGCCGAAGGTAATCCGTTAACCGGACCGGTTATTCCGGATTTTTAGAAAAATTAACCACCGGATTTTTTAAGGCTTTTTTAACTGACTATTTAACCGATCTGCGGTCCGGATTGACGGTTTTTTACGGTTAAAACCGGACCGTGAACACCCCTAGTGACCAGGTGACCCTTCACTTGTGGTTATTATTCGTATCAAGTTATATGAGAAAACAAGTTAAGCTTGAATGTTTAATTAAACTTATTTATCGAACGAGTTGAGCTAACTTCACTTGCGTCAACTTGTTTTTTTTGTTTTTTTTACTTTTATATAAACTTTGAACGAGTAGTCGTGTGAAGCATGTCTTGAGTACATAAGTCATGTTTGAGATCATATCGTTTATAATTTTTAGTTTGTTAAACGAGTCGAACCAAATCAACTCATTTATTAAACGAGCATGACCTCGATTAGTTGGCTCATCTTAATAGGCCGATCGAGCTAACTCATTTATCTAACGAGCACGAAGTTGAATTCGACTAGTATTTTATCGGCCAATTTTATATTTTGTTAATTTTCTCCAAGTTGGGGGCTTTTGAGAAATCCCATGTCTTATTATCGTGGACAGGGACAAAAGGGGCAATTTCATTGCTCAACGTACAATCGAGGGGGCAAGAAAGCTGATTGTCAGTATGGCGTGCTTTCACATAGCAAATTGCTTGTCATTAATCTTATTCACCACAAACAATTTCCAATCTCAAGTACACACACTTTCAATTAGAAAAGAAAGCAAATAATTCCTCACACCGTAGAAAAATTAAGTGAAAAATGAACAAATTCTTGCCCAATTCATGAAAAGCAGAGGCGAGTAAAAAGCTATACATTATGCTCTCTTGTTATAGTAAATAAATTAAAAAAAGAAGAAAAAAAATTGATGGGTTCTTACCTTTACTCTTATCTTTGCTAAAAAATAGGAATAAAGGGGAATTATGGGACGAAAGAAATTCGTCTGCTAGCTCTAGCAAAACTGGTAATTAGGCCAAAGCACATATCTGCAAAGTCTTTGGCTTTTGAAGTGACTGACTATTTTTTTTTTCTTTCTCATGGTCCGTTAGGCTAATGATCAGAAGTCCATATAATTTTCTTGATTCCTTTGTCTTTGTTGGTGTGTGTGCAGAGTAAATTCGTCTTCTTTCTCCTTACATCTTTCTTTCTCTGCATAGAAATGTGGAATTTGCATGCGGGTTTATGTTAAAGTTCCAATCTTTATTAAATATTTGTTCAAAAAATGAGTTCTTGAATGAAAATCCGTGGTGGGCTAACGTATTAACGTCTGCTCTGCCTTTGTCGTTGTTCAAAGGTTGTTTTTTTAAGCCTTGGGTTTTGGTGGGGTTTACATGGAGAGTGCCTATTGGGTTATGTCTGTTGCAAATTAAGTTTCTTGATATTTTTTTCTTTAAATTTTTTTCTCCATTATATTTGATTATTTTCTTCCCTGTTTGTGTGATATTTGCATGATTTTAAGGCACATGCTTAATGGTCCTTTATCAATATTTTTTACAGTAGCCCGATTCTCCCTTTCTGTTCATCAGATTTCATTGGTCCCTGATGTTGATTTCTTGTTTATTCATTAATGAGATTGCAACAGTAATAATATAAAAAAAAAAAACGAATTTCGTGGCAATCTCCGTACTAATATTTTTTTTTTCTTTTGTTTTGTTTTGTTTTTACATTACAGCCTTGGCAAAGCTAAAACGAGTAGAAGATGCTTCTTGTCCACCGTTTTGGTGGTTGATTCAAACTGATACCGAGATATGCTGTTCTTTTTTTGCCCGTTTTAGTTTTCTTCAAACTCAAAACTCACCCCCAACAGTAATTACACTTCACATGCTGGATTAAGGTATTTTTTTTTTCTTTTTCCATTTTTCTGCACAACATTCATAGTTGGAGAGAGAGAAATTTGAGTTGGGGCGTGGAGAGATTATAAAGAAATGATAAAGAAATAGGAGGGTAGACGGTTTTTTTTAGGAGGGTGGACGGTTTTGGTCAGATCTTTGATGCCTTGTGGGTTTTTTTTTACCAATTGCAGTTTTTACTTTTTTTGTTATATATATATATTTTTTTATTTTTGGGGGTAATATTTAAGTGTGGGAAGGTGTTGGGTAGTGTCCCCTGAGCTGACTAAGGCACCTCCGGAGTCAGTGGGCTTTGCCGCCGACCAAGCAAACAATCTCTTCTTCTTCTTCAAGTGAACAATTTATTATTTTTTTTAAAAATTTCTTTCATTATAAAAAAAGGGGGCTGAAATCTTGCTCAAAAAACCCATCTTTTTTACTCACTCTCTCTCTCTTTTGTCTGTGTCAAGATTCGGTCATACGAAGCCATACATCTTTTTTCTAACCCCATCTTCGAGATCCCACTTTATCGTTTTTCATATGTGAGCTGAAAAACTTGACCATATTCTGAAAATTGGTCCCCACATTTAAGGTTGTGTACATTTCTTGCCATTTTTAGGGTTTTTAGTCCTTTCTTGATTTGGTGTCCAGTCGGATCAATTGTTGGGGAATGCTCGAGGGGCAATCTTGTGTGGTTCATTTTGCGGTGTTTGGTTGAGTAGCTAGAAAGCATACTTTTTTACCTTTTTCTTTATTTGTTTATATTTTCTGTACCANACAACAGATCTTTTCAGCTGGGAAGGATGAAGTTTATGAAGCTTGGATCCAAGCCAGATACATTTCAGACTGAGGACAACAGTATAAGGTTGGATCTATATTCTTTTCTCGAAGTATGATTTGTAATGTTTTTGTGTATATTTTTGTGTTTTGACTGATTTCTTGTGTGATGCACACCAACTGTTTGTAGTTATGTTTATCTATTATGTCCATTGGTTTTTCTTGGTTGTTTGTTGTCTTTCCTTGTTTGAAATTGAACCCTATCCGTTTCTGTTAACATTGCATCTATTGGCCAGTTAATGTTGTTTTCACATCCCCCACTAATTTATTATTGTTTTTGTTGGCTCTGTGTAGAGTGTCAAACCCATTTTTTGCTCTATTGAGTAGTCACTGTCTGTATATTGGATTGTAATAGTTCTTAGGGTTTGTTCCTTCAGTACTTCCCCTGTCTATTGTAGCTCATTGAGAACTTGCTATTTTGTTTGATTTCATTCCTACCAGCACTTGTTGATTTGTTGCTCAGTGTTTTACTCCCACAAATCCCTTTCTCTTCCTTTTCTTCTTTTCTCAATTAAAAAGGCGCGAAACTTTCATCTGCGCAGATATGTTGCCAGTGAGCTCGCAACAGATATCGTCATTCAGATCGGGGAAGTCAAGTTTTACCTGCACAAGGTATGATTTTTCAAATCCGAATTCCAAATCGTAAAACTCAAACAAACGAAAAACTACATCCCGAATCGCATTAATAAAATATTTAAAAAAAAATCAAACCTTTGCAGTTTCCACTCCTCTCGAAAAGTGCCCTCTTGCAGAAGCTCGTCTCCCCATCGACCGAAGACGAAATTGCCCTCCACGACATCCCTGGTGGGCCCACAGCCTTCGAGACGTGCGCCAAATTCTGCTACGGCATGACAGTCACTCTCAATGCCTACAATGTGGTCCCTACTCGATGCGCGGCTGAATACCTCGAAATGCACGAAACAGTCGATAAAGGTAACCTCATTTACAAAGTCGACGTCTTTTTGAGCTCGAGCATCTTTCGGAGTTGGAAGGACTCGATAATCGTACTCCAATCGGCAAAAACCCTCGTCCCATTTTCCGAAGAGCTCAAAATCATCAGCCACTGTGTAGATGCCATTGCCAGCAAGGCGTCGACCGAAGTCTCGAAAGTCGACTGGTCATACACTTACAATCGTAAAAAAATGGCCGAGGAGAATGGTGCAAACGGGCTGAAGATGATTCGGGCCGTGCCGCTCGATTGGTGGGCCGAGGATTTGAGTGAGCTCGAGATCGATTTGTACAAACGGGTAATCGTGAATATAAAAAACAAAGGGTTTGTGCCGAGTGAGGTGATTGGGGAAGCCCTGAAAGCATACGCGTACCGGAAGCTTCCGGGCTCGGGCAAGAATGTGGTTTTGCAAGACGATCTCCCGAAATTCCGTTCGATTTTGGAGACTGTGGTGTGGCTTTTGCCTTCTGAAAAAGGTTGCGTCTCGTGTAGCTTTCTTTTGAAGCTTCTGAAAGCGGCAGTCTCGGCTGATTCGGACGAGAGGGTAAAAACGGAACTCGTGAGGAGAATCGGGCAGCAGCTGGAGGAGGCCTCGGTTAATGATTTATTGATTCGGGCTTGTGAGGGTGCGGAGTTGATTTATGATGTTGAGATTGTCCGGAAGATTCTGGAGGAGTTTGTGACGCAGGATAGGAATTTCGAGATCGAGATAGAAAATGGAGATGGGGAGATTCAAGAGGTTCGGAGGCCCGGGATTTTGTCCGAAGCTTCGAAGCTGATGGTGGCTAAACTTGTGGATGGCTATCTTATGGAGATCGCAAAGGATCCGAATCTGCCCATTTCTTTGTTTGTTGGGATCTCGGATATGGTTTCGGGATTTTCCCGCCCGGCACACGATGGCTTGTATCGGGCCATCGATACGTATCTCAAGGTAACTAAATCGAACTCTTCTTTAAAATCAAGCTATGCAATTTATGCTAGTTTTTCCTAGCTGATAAGCTAGCTTATAGCTTATAAGTGATCTTTAAGCGTATAGCTGAAAACTAGCTTATATGATAAAAGTGTTTGGTACAATTAGCTGATAAGCTAGCTGAAATAAAAATTTCAATGAGATTATTTGAAAAGCTAACCAAAGAAGTTTATGAGATAAGCTCGAAATTTTTTAAAAAAACTCAGTCCTACCAAACGACGCTTATTTGAATACATGAACCTTATAAGCTAACACAATAAGCTATAAACTAGCTTATTTGATTACCAAACATAGCCTTAAATTACTAAAACAACTAACGATCTTTCAGAATTACAACCTCTCATTTTCATGCCATATTGTAACCAAAGACCAGTTCCGAGAAAAAAAAGACCCCCGGCATTCTCTCGTAAATACTTCAAACCTCGAGGGTCGTTTTGCAAATTTTCTTTTCTTCCTCAGGAGCATCCGGGGATCAACAAGAGCGAAAGGAAGCGCATTTGCCGACTGATGGACTGCAAGAAGCTCTCGGCCGAAGTATGCATGCACGCAGTCCAAAACGAACGGCTGCCCCTTCGCGTAGTCGTTCAAGTCCTCTTCTTCGAGCAAGTCCGCGCAGCAGCCAGTTCAGGCAGCTCGACTCCCGACCTCCCGAAAGCCATTAAAGACCTAAACTGCAACAATTCACACGGAAGCTCTCGTTCGACCACGACTAACACAGACGAGGACTGGGGAGATGCCATGGCCTCGGCTGAAGAGCTCCGGGCACTCAGAGGCGAGCTGGCGGCCTTACGGTTAGGCAATGGGATTCCAAACGAGAGGGAGATGGGTCGGGCCTCTGAACGGGCTGCGATTGGGAAGGTTAAAGGACTGATAATGTCGAGGAGGATTTTCTCCAAGATTTGGTCGGGAAAAGGCGGAGGTGGGGCCCACGGGGAGAATAGCGGGTCGGATTCTTCGGAGAGTTTAGGGTCGGGTAATACTACGAGTAATGCTCACAGCATTCATGACGAGGGGAAGAGTACGCCGTCGAGGAAAGGGAGGCGTTCGGTTTCGTAATTTGAAAGGGAGGG